GACTATAGCTCTGTAATAGAGCTTGAAGTCAGAGATGGTGATGCCTCCAGAAGTTCCTCTATTGTACATGGCTGTTTTGGCTATCCTGGGTCTTTTGTTTCTCCATATAAAGTTGAGAATTATTCTTTCAAGGTGAAGAATTGTGTTGGGATTTTGATGGGGATTGCATTGAATCTGTAGACTGCTTTTGGCAAGATTGCCATTTTTACTATGTTGATCCTACCTGTCCAAGAGCATGGGAGATCTTTCCATTTTCTGGTATCTTCTTTAATTTCTTTCTTTAGAGACTCAAACGTCAAGTACAATATTGAAGAGATATGGAGAGAGTGGACAGCCTTGTTTTGTTCCTGATTTTAGAGGAATAGATTTGAGTTCCTTTCCATTTAGTTTTATGTTGGCTGTTGGCTTACTGTATATTGCTTTTATTATGTTTAGGTATGTTCCTATTATCCCTGATCTCTCCAAGACCTTTATCATGAAGGGGTGTTGGATTTTGTCAAAGGCTTTTTTAGCATCTAGTGAGATGATCATGTGGTTTTGCTTTTTTGTTTATATGGTGGATTACATTGATAGATTTCATTATGTTGAACCATCCCTGCATCCCTGGGATGAAGCCTACTTGATCATGATTTCTCTGATGTGTTCTTGGATTCGATTTGCCCAAATTTTATTATTTTTTTCATCAATGTTCATGAGGAATATTGGTCTTAGCTTTGTCTTTGTGTGCTTTGGGTACCAAGGAGATTGTAAAGGGTTTGGCAATGAACTTTTTGCTTCTATTGTGTGAAATAATTTGAGGAGTATTGGTATTAGCTCTCCTTTGAATTTTTGGTAAAATTCTACATGGAAACCATCTGGCCCTGGTTTTTTTTTGGGGGGGGTTGGGAGACTTTTGATGACTGCTTCTATTTCATTAGGGGTTATAGGTCTGTTTAAATTGCTTATCTATTCTCGATCCAATTTTGATAAGTGATACCTATCCAGAAAGTTGTCCATATCCTTTAAATTTTTGAATTTTGTGCCTCCCCCCCTTTTTTTGTTTGTATTTTCAAGTCAGGTTTTCTATGTGTAGCTTTGGAGCTTGTCCTGGAACTCACTCTGTAGACCAGGCTGACCTTGAACTCACAGAGATCCATCTGTCTCTGCCTCCGGAGTGCTGGGATTAAAGGCATGTGCCACCAACCCCAGGCTCCCTGTTTGAAAAAAACAATGAATGCCATGGAGGGAGTAAGGCCATATACTATGACTAGAGGCCAGGATCCTATGTTGGGTGTATTACATTGCCATTACTGCAATAATTTCATATTGTATTATCTTGTGCCACATGTCCAGGACTATAAACACTGCATTGTCAAAGTCTGTCATGGGCTTATGTGGTGATATTTTGTTTATGCCATAACATGTAAAGCTTGCTTGAAGATCAGAATGCAGAACCAAGTCACTAGTTAGCTATAGAGATCAGGAGTTAGTGGCACAACACCTTTAATCCCAACACTCAGGAGACAGTTCAAGGCCAGCTTAGTCTATAAAAAATTGAATCTGTGTAAAAGAGAAACAGAGCTCACACAAAGGTGATGCCAGCACCTGGGATTATATGCCTTTAATAGCAGCACTAGGGGGCTGGTGAGAGGAATATAAGGCAGGAGGAGACAGGAGCACAAGAGACAGTCCAAGGATTCAGTCTGAGCAGCAGCCAGTCTGAAGCAGACTGAACACAGGATCTCCCCTTTGGTTTGAGCATTGGTAGAGGTAAGAACTTTAGTGGCTGGCCTCTCTGATCCTTCTGCATTCACCCCTATAGCTGACTGTGAGTTTTTATTATTAAGACCAAAGATAACTCGGACAACAGGCTTACACAGCACTTGCATGCTAAGTGTCTACATCCAGCAATGTTATCTGTGGCCAGGCTCTCACCACCCAGGGCATTGTGGGACAAGGAAATAAGTAGCAGAATATGGGGCAGCATCAAATATCAGATGAAGTGAGCAAGCATGAGAGCAAAACAGGCAGATGTGGTACCAGCTGTAACCCATGCAAGGGTGAGATGGGAGGCGGAGACTGGGGAATCACCCTGGAGCTTTCAAGCCAGCTAGCCTTGTGCATGCAGCACAGGCTCAAACACTAGATTCTGTTTTGCAAGGTGCAGGGTAAGAACTGACTCCTGAAAGTTGTACTCTGGCCACACAAACTTCTTTGGTTTTGTTTTTTAATGTAAGAATTATGCAATTATCTTGCATGACTCCCTGGGGGGAACATGAACAGACATCCACTTATCCCAGATAGGGCATCTCCATATTTAACTCCACCCAAGACTAGCTCACTGACCCAATGATCTTAACTGAGGCAACTTATATGACTACAAACAACTTAGACCCCCACCCTACAGCAGCCATTCTCTACAAGGGAATGTCACCCACCTTGTGGGGATCTTGAGTTACAGGTGTTATATAAAGATGGTAATAGCCACACCATTCCTGGAGGCCACACAAGGTGATAATGAGAGGCTTACAGAGGCACAATGGCTGCCTCTGGGCAAGTGTGGGTGTGCAGGGCAGGCACACACACATACACAGGATATGACAGAGTACATACAATAGGGTGGCTTGGCTGACAGGCAGGACCAGGTGGGAATGACACAAGGCACCAGAATACAGCATGCTCCCATTCTCCATGAAAATCCAAGGCTGATCTTGTGGCATGTCTCTCAAGGAAGTCTTACCAACACGTTTAGGACTGTGGGGCATGGAGAAGGCAAAGGCAGCCCAGGGTTTGGCATACAGTTTTTCTGAAGTAAGACTACACAAAATGCTTTCCTTTCAGGTCAGCATTTCTCTACACATGGTTTCCATTTCTTTCCAGGTTACACTGCCTTTCATAAAAGTACATACAGCCAGCAGACACCTTGAAAGCACACCATTATCAGGTGACAGATGCAGAAGCACAGCACATTTCAATGCCACCAACTGTCTAAGGGCATCTCAACATTCCATCTTCAAGCAAACACAGGTCCACAGGACTCAAATCACCCCCTTGCTAAGACTTCATTTTGCCAGGAAGCACATGTGTATTGGTTTCTCCCTTTCAGTCCACTTTCATCTACATGATTCTTTTCATTTCCTGGCCCGTTTTCCTAAGCGCTTTTTACCATCCAGTCAGTCCAGCATCCTTAGCAATCGGAGCCACACCACTCCTCCACATAACAGGTGTTCTCATTCATGTTCCTCACTAGGCAGCAGCTCCCTTTCTTACAGTCCACCGAGTGACACAAAAGGGTGTAGGGCTAGGATAAGTAGATGCCACAGGCCTCATGCAAGAAAACATAAAATTGGAGAATACCAGAGATAGTTAGGATGCAAATCAACTGTCCCCTTCCTAAGACAAATAGAGAGCTGACAATGAACCCACCATGCCTTATGCCAGCCCCTGTAAACAAGGTGAGGTGAGGTACAAGTTCTAAGATGCAATGATATAGACCCACTGCAATGAATGCTCCCTGAGCACTACACGGCTCACACATCCCTCAGCTCGCCATGCTAAGCTTGGCAACATGCTTAAGTGATCCCTCTTTTCCATCTCACTACTCTCTCAAGGTTATCTGGCTTATTATGTTCATACCTCCAGCCTAACTGGATTTGTCCTCACAAGTGACCCCAAGTCTCATCTCACAATCTGCAATGGGTTCTGACTACAGAGAATGAAAAGCAAGTCCTACTGTCCTGTTCTTTTTCAGTGTTCCAATTCTGAACCTCAACTTCCTCTAGTTAGGAATACCCTTCCTCTCCAAGTCATTTCACAGAAAGGCTCCCCTCCTTTGCACAACACTCTTTTCCTCTGAGCAGAACCTGTTCTCTTCAGCAGTCTTTGTTCTCCATACATTTTGTTTTACTCCGCTCATTCCAGGTTCCGGCAGTCTCTTAACCGTATGTTTTCATGAATTAATGAAATAAAACTTGTGTTGGAAACTTACGTTTTCAAAGCTCATTTGAAGTATCTTATTTTCAAATGAAGTTCAAATACTGGTATGTAACCTTAAAAAGTGTAAAACATTTTTAACCACAAAATTGGGACAAGTAAATCATCCTCATTTAGGTATGTTTGACAGATTTTTAAAACAATCCTTTAAAATATGCAATACCTATATTAGCCATATGAGATCTCCATTTTATGACTGTGGGAATCTTCATCACTCAACTAATAACAAGCTTGGAGTTAACATTCTGATGCCAATTTCTGCCCCTCTGCCTCCTTATTGACAGTAACAGAACAGCATGCACCAGCTCAGCCAAGCATAGACAGCAGGGTGTCTTTAGAGGTGTGTGCAAAGGCAGGGAAGGATGGCATGGATACAAAGGCTGTGTGGACAGGAGCCAGGCAAGATGGAGGAATGCCATTCTATAGACTGGGTTAGCACTCAGGGAGAGACCCTGTACACCTACACGCAGCTCACCCAGCAGCAGTGATGAGCCCTGTGCACAGAACAGACAAAACAGGCTCCAAGCTCAGTCTCCTGCTTGTTTTGACAGACTCAGATGATATTGATTTTTGCCAAGTAGTCACAATAGCTGCTGTCTTACACAGTTTCTAGATCAAGGGCATTGAAGCAAGCTCCTTTCTTAACGTTCCTCTAGCGATTTCAAACACAAGAACAGCAAACCTAGATCAAGCCATCCACCAGCAGTGGTAACTGGGATGACAATGTGTGTACAACCAAACCTAAGACACCTGCTCTAATAACCTTACCTCAATCCACAGGAAACCCTAAAACCACCTGGAAAAAAACACAAATTTGTTGTGCTTTCAATGAAAAACTCTTACTTTCATACCACTTTTTCTTTTTTATTTAAAATATTATAACCAATTGACATACTAGATAACACTGTTTACATCCAGTGGTGCATGTTTAATGACTAGGGCATGAACAAGTAAACCACAATAATGATCTCAGCATTCCCTACAAAGTGCCCCATTTTGTTTTATCTAAGAGAGGAGAGGGAAAGGAAAACAAACACAAGGAGGGGAGGGACGAAGAAGGAGTGACATGTACAGGGAGAGAGGAAAAAATTCTAATTATCATCCTTAGGTTTTCAGGTTCAAAACCTTATTAACAGGATAAACTGTAATGAGAAAATAGATGTCACAGTCCTGGCAGACAGCTACTTCAGTTTAACTTCATCATTCGGCTATAAGATTAAGAGCTTCTCAAAAATATACCAAATATTGGGCCTACAAAAGTAATTTATTTCTTCGTAAAATTTACTAAGATTTACTCCTTTTGTAAAATGTAAAGCATGGACTGATATCTTGAGCAGGTTTCTTACAAAAAACAGTGATGATGTCAATAAGCACAGCTAGCACAATTCCCCAGACACAGTGGAAGACTACACAGGACTGTCCCTTACTGAGGCAAGGTATGCACTTCACATACTTACTGGTATTTTGTCAACAGTGACTACAAAGTATGCAACACACATTAATAATTTACACTCAGTAAAGATCTAACATTAAGGGCAACAGCTTACTTGGGAAAGCATAGAAAATCAGTGTGAGGTAGTTCAATAAAAACCTAGTTTAATTTTAAGTCACTGTGAGAATAGGATATTGTGCAAAACTAATCCACAGGTACTATTTCTCAGAAGTTTTGTTAATGAAGAGAATCTAAACCAGAAATGCCCAGAAGGTTACTCTTACTAGACTCCCCTTAATAGCACTTTGACTAAGAGCAGTTATTTTGAAATTAATTAGGACACAAGTTTTCCTATCTTACCCCAACTACACATTTCTGCTTCAATGCCCTTTATCTCTTCCATCTGTCATGCTATTAAGACAAATTTGTTTCCTGTGGTCCAGGAAAAACCTAAGAGATCAATAGAAACACGATGCACACTAAAATGTAATAGGCCATGGAGGCAATGCTGAAGAGGGCTATGGATGAAAGATGGTGCTGGGTTTGCTACTCATTGGGAAGAATTACTGGGGTCATGGGGCATCATGCATCCACTCTACAGCTAATGTGTGACTAATGAGCAACACTCACAAACTACAACAGTATTTCTGAAAATAGACTATGTTTTTATCTTAAATGCTGTGCAGGCTACTGCCTAGGCAACACTAATGGTTGTCTTCATGTGTGTGGCAGAAACTGGCCAATAGTGTAAACCACGTTATATTTGTAATTTAACAGCTTCACTTGCCTATTGCTCATTTTGTCAGTAGCCTCTCTGCCTCTATGTCTTGGGGTAACAGAGTGAGACAAACCCAGAACAGAGGGTGACAGGCTGCCAGGCAAGCTGCTGCTTTGTACACAATCAAACTTCTCTGTACTGGTAGGAACTACAGCTTCTCTTACAAGTGAGGTGTGAACCCACTGGGCTTTGTTCCTGGTGTGCACTCTTTTGAGTTGGCAATCAGCAAGCAGCATGGCAAGACACAATAAAAAAACACGTAGCAAATAGTGGAAAGAGTTGAGATGCTCCATTTGTAACAAGCAATCCCAACAACATGGTCATCTTACAGATGGTCAGTATATATTAGGGGTAAGACAACTGTGACCAGGAAGATATGTAGGAAGAATCAGTGTCCTTTTCCTAACCTATGACGTTGACTGCTAATTCTCAAAAAACTTTGGAACAGTAAGACAACGGGTAGCTTAAGCATATATAATTGAAAAGTCAAATTATAGGGTGGCTTAACAAGTACTGCTAGACGGAAATGTTTTTTGTAAATTCTTAAAAAAAATACTTAAGATTTAAGTCTCTAAAAGTACCAACATGATTTATGTTAAAAGGTTTAAGCAAAGAGGGGGAAGTTATGTAAACAATGGATCGTAAAAAGCTGGGGCACACACATTTAACAAACAGACCTTACTTTTAGGGTATAATTTTGTTAAGTATTTTAGTTTACATTAAGCATTGAAAGCTCGTTTTCTTTTAATTCAACTGAAACATGATGGCTGGCAAGTGGGAGCTGGCAATTACAACAAATGTACAATCAGAACAACTGTTATTTCTTACTTAACCAAAATCTGCATCAAGAAAGATGGCTTCTCAGCAATCAAACATAAAATACAGAAAACTAATGAAGCATGTCAGCTGTTAAAGTGCAATAGTGACACATTGTATCCTAGGGAAAACAAAACCAGTTAGCTGTGAAACTAATATAAAATAAGAACACACTCACGCTCCAATTTCTGCTAAAATCCTGACTCCAATCTTGTATTTCTACAGCCCAAGAGGCGCAATAGTCTCAAATTCATACTTCCCTAATAAAATTAATGCACCATGTTATACGTATAGAAAAGGAATCACTAAAAGGTGGGACATTAGAAATCATGGTAAACTAATTTGCTATATTTCAAAGTGTAAAAAAAAAGGCTAATGTATCTTAATCTTAAGTATTGCACATTAACAATGACCGAAAATACCTTACTTGAAAGTAATTCTACACTAAATATACAAACAAAAAACTAAGCAAACTTTCAGAAATTTGCTGAGCTGTGCCTATTCTCTTACTCCTGTTGGTTGGGAGCTCCAAGGGGCTTCTCCCTACAACCTTGCAGCTCATAAAGTATGTATTTCCCAGTTCATTACATGAAATCCCTCTTATTCCAGACAATACCAAAGGTGCCTGGGCATTACAGACATCATTTCAGAAATAATGAGACCTCGATGACATTTTACTTAGGAAAAATTCAGTTACAGAGAAAAGATTCTGTAGATATAAAATGTAAACAGTTAACACACACTTGTCAGGAGCAGCACCATTCTTAAACTACTCAACGTCCACACTGCGTATTATACTTGAAATCAGGTATAAAAATCAAAGACTCGGACTAAAGAACCACCACTTTGCCTGCTCTGCTCACTGTGAAGAAACAGTCCTTAGAAAATGACATCCTACATATGGCTGTGTGCTACTATTTTCAGATGAACGGTATATTGCTCATTTAAACATCACCTACACAAATTTAAGTAGGCTTTGGAACCTCCTGACAGCTAGTAAAAATAGGATTATGTTACAGGTAGAATCAAATGGCCAGAAACACCATACACAGGTGCTCATCAGACTGAGCCTTCAAGGAATAGGAACCGGGAAGGTCCAGAGGCCAGGAGCTGTACAAAAGAGAAGTGCAGACTCTTGACCAATGCCAGGACCTACAGCCTGAGAAGATTAACTCAGTGTATACAGAAGCAGGCTCATAGCTAGTACAAGGGAACCATCTGTTGATTTGCATTGAAATGTATATTCATGAAGTATCCTCTTGACTGTATATGATCAAAAGCTGAGCATGCCACAATGTTCAGAATACACCACGTTTCTTGATTTGAGTTTCTGTTGGGTTGGGGTGGGGAGCTCCAAAAGGTAGCAGGATGTGCTCAGCATTTTTAAAGACATGCTTTGAGTTATTAGGTCATTTAGATAGCAGGGCATTTGCCAAAATTTAGGTAAGGTTGCATACTAATTGTTGTAACTAAATTGAGATTGGCAAGTAGCAAATAGGAGGTTTCTTGACACGTTCATCATTTACAGTAGTTATTCCTGAATATAACTGGCTACAGGTTATTTTCCCTTACTCCTCTGGGGTTATTTCATTGATAAGCACATAACCCTTAAGGATAGCATCATGAACAAACATCTGAAATAAATTCTAATAAAAACTTATAAACATCTTAAATAATTCATGATATATGCAAGTCACCACATAATAGTTGCTTTGATAAACAAAATCTTACAAATTCAGTAAAAAAAAATCAGCAGCATAAGATAAAGCAAATATGCAAAAATTTAAACCATGATAAAATAATTAGGTTTACATCATACAGTTAATTACAGCAAAAATACAATAGTTTTGTTGCTGTTTAAAAACACAACTTAGGTTTTAAATTACAACACTTGAAATTAAAAAAAATAAACTACTTTACTACAAAATGAATTCTACATTTTCTGAAAAATCACTCAAAAATATGACCACTGAATTGTTTTTAAAGCAGTTCTATCAATGACTAACCGATTCCCCATCCCTCCCACCCCCCCAAGGCCCAAGTAGTCATCTACAGCAGCCTAGAGGTCCGGCTGATGCTTCTAGACTGCTGTCTGTATCCGAGGCCAAAGTCGGATCTGTGGACATTGAAGACACATCATTGACAGACGGTGAAGACGATGGGTGTTGAGAGCCATTGATCACTGCTGCACCTGTGCTATGAGAAACAAAACAGCAAATCAGTTACTGTGCTGCCTACCTCCAGTGTCAACATGCTACTTTTCCTGGGCTGAAGGGGTACTGAATCAAACTAAACCTAATACTAATGTTCTTTCATCCACACAAGCTATGAGGGGGGAATTCTTAAACCTATCTATGCTCCTGTCCTTTCTACTGCATTGTTAGTACTGAAATAGTCTAGTTAGAAAATTCAGGTCCTACTTTGATTCTAGTAAATACCAGGCAAAGACAAATACAGACTTACTTAACAGAGACAGGAACAACTGTTTTTCTCTGCTAAAAATAGTATCTAACAAGCATTTCTTGCATTTAAAAAACCAACCTCCTCCCAGTAAACAGGGATACCTTACTCAGACAGAAATCCTTTCAAGGGGTAGGTCTCATTCTGGGGTAGGAGTATGAACAACTCAACAACAGTAGCACTGTCAAGCCACAAGCTTACTACAATAAGGGTCATTTAGAAGCATATAAAAGTTCTCAAGAATACATTTACAATAAAAACAGTAGAGTGAGTTCAGGGCAACAAGATGTTAAAAGCAAGCAGGTAGGAAGTCTGATGAACCACATCTCAGGGAGAGGTCATCCCCATTCTACAAAATGGTGAACACTCAGATACAAGAGGTCCACCAAAAGCTTGCTTTCAAATGTGATGAAAGAACTGAGAAGACCAGTACTTGATAGTACATGCAGCAAATTCTGTAATGAAGCTTTCATTTATTCCAACTAAAGACTGTTCAAAGCATAGTGAATGTTAGAATTCTTAAAAGACAAGGCAGTGGTGCCAATGAAAACAGGGTTTAAATCAAGACAACAGTATGTCAGTGATTTCAAACTGAACTATCAAATTGTAACTATCAAACTGATTGAGCATGGGAAGAACTGCAGGTCCCAGGCCACTGAAGATTATAACATAAGAAATAAACCGTAACTGCAACCACAACAGGTTTATATTGTAACCAACCTAAAGGAGATGGTTGCCCTCTTATGACTCCATTCTTGGTTCGCTCCTCCAAGTCCATTACCTCTTTATATATCAGTTCTGAAAAATAATAGGAAAAGTTAAGTTTTTTTTCTTTAATCAGAGTGAACAACCTCAGAAGGCATGTATATTCTAAGTCAAAACTTGTGTGTCTGTTAAGTATATCCAGCTGGCTTCTTGCAATAATAGCAGCTGAAGTGAGTGTCAAGTTCTGATTCACAGATGTTAACAATTCCCTGATCTTCAACTATAGACTACATAGAAAGAAAGCAAAACTCTCCGCTGTAACTGTTGAAGTTGTTTAATGGGCAGCTGCTGGCAGATTCTATCCAACATCAATCATAATGGTTACCATCCATCAAGAAAACCAATGGCAACAAATGCTGGCAAAGATGTGGTAAAAAAGGAATCATCATACTTATCAGTGGAAACAAAAACTAGAATAGTCACTATACAAATTATTAAAAGTTCCTCAAAAAATTTAAAAAACAGAATTGCATTAAAGGAATCTAAGGCCAAATGTAACAGATACCTGCATATCCACTGTTACTCAGATACTATTCACAGCAATATATATGCTATTAACCTAGCTGCCCATCAACAGAAAACTGGGTAAAAAAATGTGATGAGACAAGATGTGGTGGTAACCGACTTTAATTACAGTACTCCAAAGGCAAGCAGCTCTTGGTGAATTTGTGGTCAGTCTGGACAGAATTATACAGAGATCCTGTCTCAAAACAAACAAAAGAGCAACAACAACAAAACAAAAAACAAACAAAATGTGGTGTATATATAAGCAAGCTAATTTTTAGTCAGCCATAAAGTAGAATGAAATGATGTCACTGGCAGAAAAAACAGAACTGGAGAGTACCATGCTAAGTAAACCTCACTCAGAAAGATAAATATTGAACATTTTCTCCTATATGGAACCTGGATTTGACAATATACATATGTATGACACAAAGGGGCAGATTATGGGGAGGAGGAGTACAAGTGAGAGGTAATGGAGGGCATGAAAGGTAAAAGGAGATTAATATGAATAGAATGATACACATTTGAAAATGTTATAATGAAACATGTTACTTTGTACACTAAAATAATAAAACAAAAAGCATATTTATGTATAAACACATTCACAAAATAAACACTAGATCTGATGCTCAGAGATGATAAATTAAATCATTCTACTGGTTAGAGTGGGGTGGACTGATACTCGTGTCATGTTGATAGAAGCAGAAACTACAGTTTGATTAAAAAAAACAGGAAGTCAGAGAAACCCTGTCTGGAAAAACCAAAATAAACTAAAATAAAATAAACAGGAAGTAACTAGCACATTTGATCCAGCACATCTCCTTTTTGGACTGCTCTCTCTGTTATATTCAAATATGTGCACATAAACAAATGGTAACAGCAACAGACCATGTGAAGGTCACCTTCAGTGCATCTAACAAACTTCCCTATAGCTCATCCCTTACTAGCTACTAAACCCTGCTGTGTGGATCAAGAGAATGACATGTTCAAGATATATGGAGACATCAACAAACAGTGTGTATAGAACACAACCACTGGTGATTTTAGAGATAGGACACCCCAAATGTGGTTGTAGAAACAAAGGAGAAAACACTAATGTGCATATGACTCAGGTAGACAATTTCAGAAATTAAGGAAGTTTTGTAAAAAAAAACACACAAACAAAAACTTATTAACACCTATAAGTTATGAAAACAGAAAGCAACATTAATTTCCTAAACACAAAGAAGTCATTGAAAGAAGCAGAAGCTGTGTCACTGTTTAGACTCTGGTGAGTGTTACCTTTCCACTCTTCTATTGTGTGCTCCCTTTCATCTAACTGCTTGTCAGGGATCTTTGGTGGTGGCTGAAAGACACAAGGCAGTAACAACTGAGTCAGTTTATTGGAATTATATATACTAATAATTATTTGAAATATCAGCCAGACAAAAGACCTTATAAGACAAAGACTAATCAATCATCATTAACTTTAACTTTTAGAAAGTAGTTCTGTAAGATTCCTTTGTAAATGTCGTTTTTCCTATCCTCCCAACTTTTGAAGTTGTCACACTGTACCTATATTACAGAATTCTTCTCTTCTTTGGATATAAAACATTAGTTCTAACTAAGCCTGCTCACACAGACATCCTATCTCCTCTCTAATCAACTATCAATTCAATAGACTAAGAAACAGTGGGAGGATACCCGACTGTCTGTAATGGGTTAGATATACTCATTAACCTAAGATTCTCTTCATGCAAAACTAGGAAAACATTAACATCATCTGTCTATATTTTTATTTAAAATGACAAGTTCTTTTTCAAACTTAATTTTAACCATAGCTCTAAGAATGCATTATGTTCTTTAAGCATTAAGAACTTACAGCTTCTGCTTCTGAAGGGTCATACCAGACGTTGATGTATGGGTGCTGGAGAGCTTCATCTACTGAGATCCTTTTGGATGCATCTATTACTAGCATTTTGGATAACAAATCCCTTGCCTGACTGGCTGCAAAAATAATGATATTAATACACACATGTTCATGAGATTCTCCAATTATTAACTTTAGAAAGTTGAGGTTATCTTTTATTTTTAAAAAATTATTTTTGCCAGGCATTGTGGTGCATATGCTTATAACTGCTGAACTGTGGACACAGAAACAGAAGGATCACAATTTGCAGGCCAGGTTCTAGTAGCAGGTTAGCAAGATCACACAGTAAATAGCTACAATAAATAGAACTTGGGAGGCAGAGGCAGGTGAATCTCTGTGAGTTCGAGGCCAGCCTGCTCTACGGAGTGAGTGCCAGGATAGGCTCCAAAATTGCACAGAGAAACCCTGTCTCAAAAAACAAAGAATGTTTTTATTATTTATTTTTGTATCAAAAAAAAATTTATAGCCAGGCATTGGTGGCGCATGCCTTTAATCCCAGCACTCGGGAGGCAGAAGCAGGTGGATCTCTGAGTTGGAAGTCAGCCTGATCTATGGAATGAGTTCCAGGACAGGCTCCAAAGCAATAAAAAACAAAACAAAACAAAAAACAACAACAAAAAAGTTTTTACTATAAAACCAGAACATATACATTATTTATAATTTTCTCTTTCTCTTTTTTTTTTTTTTTTTTTTGAAGCAGGGTCTACACTTTGTTGTACTAGTTGGCCTTGAACTCAGAAATCCTCCTGCCTCTGCCTCCCAATTCCAAGGATTAAAGAAAGGCAAATGCTACTATACCTAGCTAAAACACAAAAATAACGAAAAACTTTGTATGGTCCCTTAAGAATATGACTAAGCACTCTTTCCACACATGTATACCCAAAACAGAATATGGTGTACACACTTATACAACTTACCTTTAAGTTTGTTATGCTCAGAGTCAGCTGGGAAAAGCACATCAGGGAACAGTTTCTCAAAGCTATATCCAGCATATTTAGGTCTGTTTTCGACATAAGTCCTTACTGTTGGTTGTAGTTTCTTCATGAATTCAGGACAGGGTGTTCCAAGCTGTTCAATAACTTTATTCCACTGATCAATATCTATTATCAAGTAGCTAAGAAAAATACTTCATGGATCAAATGTTCAACACTCTAATCTTATCCACATTAAATACAAGAAAATAAAAAAATGTAAAACTTAAAGAATGTGGCCATTATATATTTTATACATCAAAGCCACCTTGCAAAATGCAATGATTGCAAGTGGATAAAAATGATCAATAAATAAGCTTTGTTAATCTTATTTATTGTATGTATTTGTGCTCATGCACATGTGTCGGTATACATAAACATTAATTTTGCCATGAAACAGAGGAATAAACAAGTAAATCCAAAATAAAATTATAATTCAAAAACTATCATTACTATACATAAAGACTTAAAATGCAAACTGCACAAACTTTAATATTTAAAAATCTGCCTTTTCCCCAGTGAGAAATATTTCTATTTTGTCTTGCTTTTCTGAGTTCTCTACACTAACAGAAAACAACCAATGGCGATAAAAATGATGACTCTAACAGAAGTAGCATTTTCTTCTGCCATTCTCAGGTTTGCCTATGTTTACTACGTTTGTGTAACACTAAAACACATGAAAATGACACCAGTATCTCAGTATGTTATAGACTAGGGTTTCCTGGTCTTGTTCCTTCTATTCTTTATACTCCAAACCTCCAAAGACAAATGTCCCAAACACTCTTAGAGTAACATGGTGAATATTCTCATTCCTCCTAAAACAATTGTGCTACTCACTGATAGACACTTCACTGTTAGCATATATATTAAAAGTTGATGAACTAAAAGCATGAAGCCCAACAAAGGAAACTTCTTGCTGAGAATCTCAGCATGTTATGTTAATGTAATGAGACAGTAAGACACAACATACACAACAGTAACAGAAAGACATGGGGGAACCAAACAAAAAGATAGATAGGAGCAACAAATAATTCTAAAATTCATGCTACCTTCAAAATAGTTATAGACTTACTCAAGTGTTAAAATTTTTTAGTGGAAGCCATAATTTTCTATGTTAATCAACTCAAAGCCATCAAAAAACTATAATCACACTTGAGCACTTTTCACAGTTAACAAATGCAAACAATAAATGAGAAAAAGGGAAGTCTATGTCAAGTAAGAGGTGGTATTCTGGAAGAGTAATTTAACAATACTTTTTATTAGGGAGAGACAAAATACATTCCACCTGACACGGTTCCATACAGTTTGACCTTTAGAAACTACGTTTTAGGCCAAAGATAAGGATACGATCTGTACCTGGGAACAAAACACCACCTTTGATCATTTCTCCCATGATGCACCCAACTGACCAAATGTCAACTGAAAACAAAATGCAATGACATTAACATAAAGATTTGGTTAAAATAAAAAGAAAAATATATAAACATTAAAATAAAACACACACACCATATACACTTAAAATTATAAAAAGCAATACAAAATAAAAATGAATGACAGTGAATGTGCTCTGACTACCAGCAGAGACTGTATGTCCTGCTGCCAGGTGCAGCCTACAAACACTTCAGTTTCTTTGCTCAACAGTTTTTTGAACTATAACAGCCACAAACTTTACATCTATTAAAAAAAAAAACCTGTATGTATGTACAAATGTACAATATATTCCTTTTCATTAGCAAACAGAAGGAAGTTCATCACCTAGCTAAGTAATTTGCTGCAGCAGCACAAGGATACAGTCCCTTCCTGGAAAGAGGATTTTGTGGCAAACCATTTCTCCCATAATGCACCCCACAGACCATAAATCCACTATATGTTTGCAGCACAAAAGAAGGAAAAGCAAAGCAAAAGGTCATTAAAATCAAAGAAGCATAATATGACTGCATTATCTAAAAAACTGCAGAACATCACAAAGAAAGGTGGTTTGAATTTCAAATAATGGAATAATTTAAAACACAAAATGCTTTTAGAAAAGCTTTGAATCACAAAAGAAAATATGGAGTGGCATTTTAATTACATATCTAATTTTAAAGTGAGAGCTATGCACAGAAACTGGATAAATTAAAAATATACATTTTATAACTGTGAATGTTTATAAAATGTAAAGTAGAGCCAAACAAACTATAAAGTTAAAAATGTATATGAGGTCATAAAATTATAAAAATAAGATGCACTATTTTGAGGTTTAACTGTGCATTTTACTCTCTCTTTAAGTTAAATTTTAAAAGCACAAGCAGAAATAATCTAGCATATTAGAAACAGAATGTCTCTGAATTTAATAAAATGTTAATCTAAAGTTTTCCTCAGAAAATTTCAAACTACATTTCACAGGCTTATTGAACTGAAAAGGCTTTGTTTGTATGTTCTGAATTAAAAGTCAGTCATTTTCTTCGCAACTTCATTTTACATTTATACCTAACCTCTACCAAAAAAAAAGGACAAATGCAGAACAAGAACAGCTTATCTGTTAAGAAACCTTGGTAAACACAAGTGTTTTCAAGTTTTTTATTTTAAAATACCAAAGTACCTACAGATTTGTGATCTATAAAGAGTCTCCTAGCAGATCACTGTATTATAAAACTTGCTACAAGGGGATGAATTTGCTATCAGGCAGCTTAAAATAGATTACCCCAAACTTTTTAAAGCAATCTGAGGTTCTCTTCTCTCTCCCCCTCTCTCTGTGTCTGTGTGTGTGACAGAGAGAGAGAGAGAGAGGATAGAGAGAGAGAGGCACTTAAAAGAGGACATCTGTATGTCATCCCCTGCTGCTAATGGTAGTTATGAAGAAGCATTAGATTTGACTGGGCTCCTGGGGGAACAGGCAGGAAAAGCAATGAGATGATCTATGTGACTGATCTGAGAGGACAATATGTCAATTCCTTTTTTTTTTGGATAATTTTTTAATTACTTATTTTTATCTTATGTGCACATGTCTGTATGAGGGTGTCGAATTCCCTGCAACTGGCATTAGACAGTTGTAAGTAGCCATGTGAGTGCTGGGAATTTAACTCAGGACCTCTGGAAGGACAGCCAGCGTTAAGCACTGAGCCATCTCTCCAGCCCCAATATATCAATTCTTGACAACAGCATCTCTAATTTCTGGTAAGGAGCTATGTCAAGACCATATTTACAAGGATACCAACACGTGGTGCAATTTATATAACCAAAAGTTTCACAGAAAAGCAATTAGCAATATGCTTTCTAGTTACCTGAAATGTCATATTTCAAAACAAAACATTTAAATCTTATGCTGAGACTAAGAAAGCAGAATATCCTGTTTGTTTAAATAAACTGATATCTAAAATATTTGTTTTTAATTAGCTCAAAAAAGAAAAGGAAATTAAGCAAGGACCTAAATTTCAACAGTATCATTGTATGTATGTATGTATGTATGTATGTATGTATGTATGCATGTATGTACATATGCATAAAGAATCTTCAAGACTGACAATAATTTTCTGATTCAAAGTGAACCACTGTTCTAATTCCCTCCCTAGAAACACATTAAAAAGTTTAACATATCCACACATAATAATATATTCAATTTCCTTAAGGCTGGACACAGGATTTTATGCAACACTATTATTTCCCACAAGAGGTTGCATTATCCATTAATTTTTCAGAATTGAGCCTTTATGTAGCTCTCAGTTGATATTGAGTGTTATTATTAACACTGACTAAAGGTGTTGGAGATGAGAGCAAATATGACTACTATACACTAGAATTACTACTAAGATTAATTAAAAGGTATATGCTCATGTTGAAGTTACAGACAAGCAAAGGGCGTAAGTTATGGTTTTAGAATTCTTTAGGAGTAGGACTGATGGAAAGTACTCACATTTAAGATAAGACCCCCATGCTTTCCCAAATATGTATGGTAAAATGCTCAGATTCTTGATATACATTTGAAACATGGTTAATTCCATGCACTTCAATTTAAGTACAAATATCTTACTGATAAACTAAATCAAATGAGTATTTCAAAGTGAAAATATATGCTGACCGTTCTCCTTGTAGCCCATGCCGAGGATGACCTCTGGTGCTCTGTAGTAGCGAGTCACTACATAAGGCGTCATCATGAAACTTGTTCCTGCAGTCCTCGCCAGTCCAAAATCAAGAATCTTCAAAGTGCAGTCTGATTTGACTACTATATTACTAGGCTTTAAGTCCTTCAGGAAATAAACATTAAAATGATTGCTAAGACATATATACAAAGGTTTCACTACTCAACTGAACTACATAATCTGTTAAACAGTTTAATTGTTCACTGTTTTCACTGCAATATAACTACAGAGATTCAATACAAATAGGCAAACCCAAGAAATCAGATTGAAGATATTTTCATTTATATGAACATAAACCCAGTATGAAGTCAGTAAAGCTCTATTTCCTAGAGATCAGTATTAGCTAGAAATTCTTGGTCAAGTAGAGCAAGAGATTTGGAAAGACATCTTAAAGCTCACTTAAGATCTTTTGTGTGGGGCTGGAGAGATGGCTCAGTAGTTAAGAGCACTGGCTGCTCTGACCTGGGTTCAATTCCCAGCACCCACATGCCAGCTCACAGGTGTGTCTGTAACTCCAGTTCCAGGGGATTCTATACCCTCACACAGACATACATGCAGGCAAAACTGCATAAAAGAAATAAAAAATAAAACAAACAAAAAAGACTTTTGTGCTAGGCATAGTGGCCTATCCTTTGTAATCCAATTCTTGATACCAAAGCAGAAAGACTGGAAGTTTAAGATACACAGTGTACTGCTTAGTTTTTTGTTAACTTGACATAACAAGCTAGAATCATTTGGGAAGAGGGGACAACAACTGAGAAATTGCTTCTAACAGAACAGCCTGTAGACAACTCTGGGGGGTACTTTCCTAATCAGTGATTAAACTGAGAGGGCCCAACCTACTGTGGGTGGCGCCGTCCTGGGCAGGTAGTTCCGGTTGTTTAAGAAAACAGGTTGAAAAAACCATGGAGTTGCAAGCTAGTAAACAGCACTCCTCTAGGAAGTCGGCTTCAGTTACTAATCCAGGTTCCTGCCCCGAATTTCCTCAAAGATGGACTGTTACATAAGATGAAACAAGCCTTTTCTTCCCCAAGTTGCTTTTGGTCAGTTTTATCACAGCAATACTAAGCAAATTAGGATACATAGCAATACCCTGTGTCTTAAAATACCAATCACAAACAATAAAAGAACTACTATGGTAGTTCTTTACTCTCTACTATGGTAAGAGTCATAAATTAGCATTTATATTCATCTGCATACTAAATTAATAGCATTAGAAATCTCATCCTAAGGTCACAATGAGCTTTTTATCACTTTAAACCCACTATGAAACATTCTGCAAATAGTCACGTGATATTGACATAACCTTGGCATATGTTATTGGAACATTCATAGTTATACATGTTTGCTTTTATGGGGAGAAGGCTTGGGATCAACCCCAGTTCAATAGACACTCATTCTAAAGGACCAAAATAGTGACTATCAGCCTGCCCATTCCTGACTTCCCACATAAAATCACAAATATTTGCTCATAAACATTTGTCCACATGTAGCACACATTAGTGTGCTGGGGCCACTGGTCCATAAAATTGCTTTCTGCTGGTAGTACTAAATAATGTCTTTGTGAAAAACTGCCACTTGGCTCCAGCCAGAAAGAAATCTGTTTAATGCCTATTAAAATGAAGCAGTGGCATAAATACTCAGGGCTTCACATTCATCATGCTTTTGCCTGTTAGCTTTAATGAACTCTCATATCCACACCACAATCACACTATCTCACATGCACAGATGAATAGCAGATACTAACACCAAAAGCAAAGACCCCTTTAAATGTCTACATGCAGGAATTGCTTATATGCTGTTTCTAACAGGCCATCATGCAAAGGCTTCGGGAACAGACTCAGGACTTTAGAAAATTAAGAATATTAAGAATATAGAGTTATTACAGCATAAGATAAATGCCATCATTGCTGTTCTGCAAATATAATGTTGCTAATACTTGTGAAATATAAAAAAAGTATATAAAGCAAAGGAATGCCCATTACAAACTTTAGTATCACTTTCATGTCTGCTGTTACAGCTGGAGATTACTGGTTCTAGTCTAGCTGGTTCTAGTCTAGAAAAAACGCAAACACTTTTTGTTCTGGAAGGACTATGAACAAATACAATTTTTTTTTTAAAGAAACAGTTTAAGAAAATAAAGTGTCAAGAGTATTTGGCTCTAAGAATATTAACTAAAATTCATCTTTATATTGTTAACTACATATGGAAGAGTGACTTGGAGTTTACATTTGTGCAGAGAGAGTAGAAGTACCTCAACATTCAATTTTCCTCCCCAATTTTCTAAGCCTCTCCAGTCAGGCAAGGTGGAATGAGTAGACCTAGTAGGTAGTATCTTAATGGGAACAAAGTGGAGGAAGGCCTCCTGTGGCTCTTCTTGCTTTGGTGAGTAAGAACACTCCAGGTAGTGGGCTTTCTTGGCACCAGGATTGTTCAGCGGCATGATCTGCTTGTACACATAATATGAGAAATAAACCTTAGTTATGTTTAGTTAAGAGTCTGATAATTGTTATTGTACCTGAGCCTACTTCAAGTTGAGTATCCCTACTCTGAAATCTGAAAGGCCCAAATTTAAGTCATTTTGAGTATAACTGACAGTACTTAAAAGGTTGTTATATCCACTTTGATGTCTATGCTAAGGAAAACTTAACGGTAGACTCAAATTAGTTCAAGGGTACAGGGTCCATCATGTCAGAGCTTTGATTTTCAAGAAATCTGTATTTCTAACTTTCAGATTTAGGGATGCTCTAAAGTAAAGTCTATGAAAATATCTAAAATCTAAAACATTCCAAATCTGAAACAATCTGGCCCCAAGCATTTAAGATCACAGACAACCTGTGCAAGAACACAGGGCCATGAGCTGGTGACTGAACAGCACTGAAACCAGTAACAAAATGGAGAGAGATCCTTATTATGCAGATGCAAAAATATTTTTTTATGTCATCTGCACAGGACTTGCAGAATGAACAGGGGCTGACAATTGAAAGCCTGAGTGCATTTGCAAAGTAAGTTTTCTGTGTACTTAGACAGCCCTCTTGTTCCACATTATCTATATGTGCTTTTGTGATAGAAGGGCAGAGTCCTCTAAGTAGCTGTGGCAGAGACCTTAGAATGTGGTCTTTACATAAACAAGTTCTTGAATTCCTGCTCTAGAAAAGGTTGGAAAGCAAACCTTTGTCTATTGGTGGCTACTGGCTCCACTGGAAAGAACTAGCCACATTGTAAGTAGAAATGGAAGATAATAGTGTCATTATTTTGGATAAGCTAAATGTTCCTACAACCCAGAAAAAGCTGACAGATGGTATAGTTCATCCCTGGACCAAGCATCATCCTTTTATATGCCTATCCTTGTTTTAGTTAATGGAACATCAAAGAATGTGATGCTCACCAAATCTGAAGAGAAATTCTGGACATATTCGAGTTAACATAGTTTCTGTCCTTTTACCTTATACCATGGGAAAACAAGGTCCCTGGGAAGTAAACCTGAACCTGACCCAATGTATGGAACATAGCCCAATCCTGAGGCTCCTGAGCAAGCACTGTGCTGTTTCAAGCCATGGATATTCTTGGCATGTTTCTATACACCATTTCCCATAACAAATCTGAAAGTCTTGTCAAATCCTCAAATTGATGATATCAGTCAGTCTGTCCAAAGAAGCCTGAAAGTGTGAAGGTAGACTCAAGAGAGCTTCAAGTAAGTCCAAGAATACAGAGCCTGCCAGCTAGTATGTTTTAAAAAGACATACAATTATAAAGCTACACTTCTTTTAGTTGCTGATAAAAGCTTCACTATGAAAAATAAAACTCTGTTGTCAAGAAAGCTGCTGAGCATCTTACATGGGCAGGACAGCAACAAAGAAACTTTCTGCTCCAAATGTCAATAAGATACTTGTGCTCCTGTCTTTCATGGGTAGGAAGCAGGTAAAGAAAGCTGAGCAGCCAGAGTCCACAGCTTTCAATACTTACTTGAGATGTATTTAAGAAGGAAAGGAAGATTCCCATGGGGAGCAGCCAGGTAATGTGGACAACAGTGGACAGACTGTACTGTGCAGAAATCAGATTCAACTCCTAATGAGTAAGCACTCCCACCTCCAGAGGGAAGACCACTTACAATGTCCATTCAGCAGGACTTCAACTGCCAACTAATCAACCACTGTTTCTTTCAGTTTTCCAATGAGATTGCTGTGGCTACCCTGGCCCCATCTGATTGTTCTACTGAGGGAACTCAAGGAGAGGGAAGACAGAGCCAGTTCCTATGTTTTTGTGCCCAAAGGATCAGTGTCTGAATCTGATACAGATATCAATGTGTGTGCCTGTTAAGGAGGTGTGCAGCAGAGCAGCAATGTCAGCCAACCACAGGCTATGGCAGGACTGGTACTCAACAACATTCATGAGTCTGCTCTCCCCAAATTTTCCTATTCTTTTATAACTAGGTAGGTCTTTATGGCTAGCTCTGCTGATACACTGAAGAGGGGTGATGTGTGTCACGTCTAGACCAGCACGTTTAGGCAGTATATTACCAGGTAGCTGTCTTTTGCTGTCACAGTGAGAACTAGTTAGAGGAAGTCTTCCTCAGCATGGGTTTCTAAGGACATCTGACTGAAGTCCTTGGAGGAATAGAAGTTTAGACTGTCTCTTAAGCCAAAGAGTAGCTGCAGAATGGCAGAGTTCAAGTGAACCTAGAAAGGAGGACAGGTGCTGTGAGGACTAGATGCAAGATTGGCAGCTACAGTTTATCATGTCAATTTTTTGGTAGTTGCTTCAGAAAAAGACAGCAAGGGACTATCTTGCCAGAACAGACAGAATTTAGTGCCTAAGACAGTGAGAAGAGTGATCCAAGGAGTGACTTCAATAGGCTCTGTGATGTCTGTTCAGATCCTTGGCTCAGAGATACGGATTCTTCCATTTCCCAGGAGGAATGGCTACTGGTGGCCTTCAGAAAACTCCTCCAAGAATGACCTGTTTTTAGCACAGAAGTTAATAGGAGCCCCAGCTGAGGCTTTTGAAATAAATATAGTCAATGTAATTTCTCATTTTGTCCATTTTTACTTTGTATAGATATTGACCCTAATGGAACTTTTCAGTAAGCTTCTTACATGTATAGCTCCACCCTAGTTTTCCATATTGCCCAGCATAAGGTACAGGTCATTATACCAACAAACCTCAGTGTGTCTATTGTTAGCTCAACTTTATTATAGTAAGAACATTTCTATAGCTGTACTCTATTTTTCCTAACAACTTCCAAAATGAATAAAAAAATTAAGTAATTAGAGAAGAAGGAATACTTCCTAACTTATGATGGGACTAGCAATGCCTTGATACCAAAGTCAGATTAAAACCACCTTCACATGGAAACGAGAAACTAAATCATTAATGAACTCAGGCAAAAATCCTCAACAAAAATACTAGCAAACCATAGTATACTGGAAATAAAATAGAGTTCACAACACAAAAATCTATCAATGTAGTATATCACATTAGTTGAAGGGAAGCCATTCATACAAATTTGTGCATAAAACCTTTGGCTAAGTCAACAAATATGCAAATCAGGAATCTAAAATAAACGGAGAAGAATTAATTTTTGTAAGAGGTGATCTGGCATTTGTCATAAACTACAGGTGATTTTAACACCTGGAATATCCTGCTTGACAGAACTGTCCTGTTAGTGTGGGGGGTTTGGACATGGACAGCCCAACAACAGGATTTATGATAAGAGCTTTGGAACTCAAAACAGTTCCAACCTCTGGAGGAAATGGAATTTGATGTTGAATCTTTATGATCTTTACTTTGGCAGGAGATTAGACACAAGGGCACATGATATAATAAAAATTTGGTATTTCATAAAAACTAAAACCTTTCACATATTAGTAAGACATTATCAGTAAAGTGAAAGCCAATCTGTGTATAAGTTATGTCTGGTAAAGATTTAGTGTATGTACAGAACTGGGACTCACACACACACACACACACACACACGCACGCACGCACGCACGCACG